TGATGGTAGGAAAAGGTTATGTTGAGGGCTGCACGCAATCTGCGCGTGCATGCGGGAGCCAGACAAGGTGATTAACTTCTGCAAATGTAACGTCTTAGTGGACGCAGAAAGCATCCTCTGCCACAGAGTGCTTGGCGGACACTGGGGCCGTAGCAGGCTCCTGCTGAGCACCTGTGCCAAACGGAGTCTTCTCATCCCCAACGCCGTATTTTGGTTTCACAATCGCGAAAAGACAAAATAGCCGTAGTCTAGATTTCGTTCATGGCAAATGTTGGATTACATCTTTGTCAAGAGAGAAAAGATCGCTGTGAAGTGCTTGTGACAACAGCGAAGCATGATTACGGATACTAGATTGCCTGCTGTATACTCGACTCGAAAAAGGGGTTGACACAAGGTCGGACCGACTAGGGAAAATAGGAATAAGTAAATGTCACGAAAGGTTCATGCAGTGGTTAAGAAATTTTACGACAGCATTTTAGCTGGTTAAGTACAAATTCAAATTTCAGAAGACTCAATAAAGATATCCAGAACGGAGTGGGGATGCGTTCTCGCTCCAAGAATTTGCAGTTCTGTGATATTCTACGTGCTGATTGACGCATACCATTAGCATAGACGAGGGACTGACATTACCAATAGGACAAGGTGGAAACTGTTCGATACCCGTCGTATATGGGCCGCTACAAAAACCTTCAAGGCCAAAAGTAAATAATTTATTGCCAACACATGCGTACTGATGTCGATTTTAAATCCATATATTACCGCTGCCAGGTGCAACAAATTCGTACTAAACATCAGTACACATTAACCGGTTGTCAATACACCAAATCCGCGATAAATGCAAAAGGCCGTCGCCTCATAGCAGTAGATCACTTGTCTAATCTGCAGCATATCACTTCAGGGAAGATCAAAGTTCACGACGGTGTTACAGCCCGGATCAGTAAAGTCAGTCAGCCCTTCCAAAAAAAACTCCACATAGTATAGAATCGCCATGGTATCCTGGTCAACTCGAAATTACGGGTGTAGGACCTGCATTCTGACAATTCCCAACTGCAGAAAAGAAATGTGAACAGTTTATACGAGGAATGCTATCAAGTTGAAATACCCTCACCTAAACCGACTCCCAGGCATTCTGCGTGTGAAGGGATTCCAGGCGCCCCCTTCATTCAAATAGCTTATAAACTCAATATCTATGTCATGCTGAAGCAGATAAAACTTCGATGAAGTGGACACATCGTGCGGATCCCTGATGAACGTTTGTCTAGGCGGCCGTTTTATGTGTTAGGGCGACCTAACGAACAGCCTACCAGGCAGATAGCATGCAAGCGTCAGGCGCGCTCACGGCAGGCTATCGATCGGCCTACAGGCGGCGAAGCATACTGACAGGCAATGAATCAATAACTTGAAATTCAAGCCACATTCACTCACTGAGCCAACAGCCAATAATACCGGTGAATATTTCAGGAGAGGAGCTACTTGGCTCAATGGACATCGTGTTACACTGTTTGTTGTCTTAAATACGTTGTACCTATAACACTCAAGACGTCTGCTGTTGCACCCTCCTTGTCGTGTTCCTCCTTTGGGGACTCACACAAGGCGTTATTGGGCGGCGATATCTCGGCCTGGGCTTCCGTTACAACATTATGATGACACGGCTGGGGGATACTCGCAGACAGGGTGATTCATAACCATGACATAATAAGACTTATAGGACCGCAGTCAAAACGCACCGAAATCAACTACGATAACCGAGAAGCGATTGCACAGGACCGACAGGAACGACGGTAGGTCATAAGGTCGGGAACAACTATCCTCTAAGGAGACAGAATAGAGGGGACCATGACAAAGTAACGAATAGGCATTTTGGACCAAAGCCGTCAAAGTGCAGTCTTTCTGAGTCCTCCTCCCCTCCGTCAACTCAAGTTTAGGTTCGAAA